GGTAGCTAGTTAGTTCGCTTCACAGAAGTGAGAAAGAAAGAAACTCTTGTCATTCTGTGTCTTTTCAAGGTGACCTTTGAAGCTGAGCAGTATGGTGAAGTTAGTGGTTTTTATGCTGTAACTTTTGGCGTGGTCACTATCTCCGAAGGTTCTGCAGAACGCTTTCCTTCTTTTGGGTCTGTTGAATTACCTGCTTCCTCATTTATATGTAGTTTCCAGTTTGAACCTTTCTTTGTGGCTGAATTGATATTATGTGGCATTGGTTTTAATCATATAAAATAAAGTTATATATGTGCCTGCCTTTAGTAACTCCTCAGCAGACAGAGCAGTGTTGTGCTAAGAAATTTATAGTCCTTTCCTGCGATTGGTTAAGAAGAAATAACTCACATAGTTTCCTTATCATGTTTGGTTTTGTTTTTTTTCTGAAATTCCCACATAGTTGTGGTTTTGTCCTATTTTGACACCGAGAGCTGCAATTCAAATATAATTGATGTGAACTGTTGCTAAAATAAGATTTTAATTTTTAGCCTGAGAAAATCCCGCCAAGGCAGTACAATTTGGCATGTCCTGAGAATGCCAAGACTTAGATGTTCTTTTATTAGTGAGTGACCAGAAATACTGGAAATAAAGTAGATTATGTTCCAGTTTGTCAACATATGCATCCTGTCTGAAAAGTCCCCATGACATTTCCAAATATTTCAGATGGTAGACTGTTAGAAAAAATACCATTTACTTTACAAGGGTCTTGATTCTTTGCAAGATAAAAATTTCATAAAATATAGTTCTTCCCTGAAATATATAGCTGATATATATCTGTAATTAATATTATGGTAAGTGGAAAAAATTTGCTTAAACTTGCATTTTAATTTAGTTGGCGCTTTCACGAAAAGAAAAGAAAAGAAAAAAGAAAAGAAAAGAAAAGAAAAGATTAAGAGCACTACGGTGTGCACTTGAGAGGTCCCACCATAGTATGAAACACATTTGAAAATCATTTGTCATTACAGTTGGTCACTGTTTAGCTTCAAGGCTTGAAAAATATACTCACAAGTGACAACTTTTTGAGGTAAAGCTGAAATCCTAAATCTCCAATTTCCCAAAGACTTCATTTTCTGGAACAGTCTTAACACTGCACAGGAGTGTTAATTGGAGCCTTTCCAGATAGACACTCAGTAATTACTGTCATAGAGTTAGAGAATGAATTTGCTTGGAAGGGACCTTAAAGATCACCCAGTTCCAACCCCCCTGCCATCAGCAGGGACACCTTCCACTAGACCAGGTTGCTCAGAGCCTCATCCAGCCTGGCCTTAAACACTTGCAGGGAGGAGCAGCCACAGCTTCTCTGGCCAACCTTTCTTCCTCAGATCTCATGTAAACCTGCTCTCTTCCAGTTTAAAGCCATCAGCAGAGCAGAGGGGCAGAATCCCCTCCCTCGACCTGCTGACCACGCTGCTCTGGGTGCAGCCCAGGACACGGTTATTGGCCTCTAGGCTGTGAGCGCACATTGCCGCCTCATGTTGAGCTTCTCATCCACCAGCACCCCAAGTCCTTCTCCTCAGGGCTGCTCTCCATCCAGCCTGTATTTGTGTTTGAGATTGCCCCAACCCAGATGCAGGACCTTGCACTAGCTACATTAAATTTTGGGGCTTCACAATCAGGTGGATGTCTTGAGGGTTTTCCCTCCTCCAACTCATCTCCCTTTTCCATATACAACCTCAATACAGTTGCAGTGTAGAGATGTTCTCCATAAACACAGGCACACATGGCGCCTCAGCACCCACCACCCAGTTTCCTGCTCCTTTAGCTGCCTCTCAGAAAGGATTGTTTCCCATCCAGCCAAGAAGCTCTGTGTATCTAATGGGACATCCACTACCAGGGTAGAAGAATCATTTGGAGGAGTCTCTGCAGTTTTGGGGAAGGCTGCCATGGAGATACAGGGCCTGGAAAGACAGAAGAATGTGCTTTGGGGCTGTAAAATGGTGTGTAAAGTACAGAAGAGGTCAGTTTTGGTGTGAGACTTATTTTTGACCTGGAGAATGTTGCATTGAACACATCTGAAAGATCTCAGTATTAGAAATTCAGCAACACATTGCTGTGTAATGCCAGCCTGACAGGCTAAAATTAAAGCTCTTTGGAGCTGTAGAAGCATAAGAATTGTTGCTAAATTCTATTTAAAAACAAAATGGGAGTTTGATCTTAGATACCACCTTCACTGTAAAATAGTTTGTCTTTTGAAATTTCCACAGCCACACGAATGAATAAATCAGAATATCATTTATTAAAATGAGAGTTGTTAGAATTTATTAGAAATAGTCACTAGAAATATATTTGGTCCTCTTGTTAATCATTGGTCACAAAAGTGTGTTGAGTATTTCTCTGTTCCTTGTGTTCCTAACTATTTGAGTTTTGATGGGATAGAGGGAGGAAATGTTTGGAGAAGTTGAAAGGGCCATTTATGTACCACGAAAGATTTCCAGTCCTTATTTCTCAGATGTAAATATGCAGATCGTTGAGATGCAGGTGGGTTGTGTAGCTGCACAGACTGCTCGTGGACCTTCTGGTTTGCCATTATCCGTGGGTATCTTGCTGTCTTCGTTTACAGATCAGGTTCTTGGAGATGCCTGGGCAACATCACTGCCTTCCATGGCTTCCCTTTCATGGGGGTAGTCAACAGGACTCGGTATTTTTGTTGGCAATGCACAAAGCAAGTGTTTGTTGAGTTAATAATGCTCATGTTGGTCATATTTTATGTGTATTTACAACCTTTCTGTGGAACAATTCTTAGACTGTAGTTAGATGATTGTAATCTGCTCGTGTACGTGATGTCCTGAAGTCCACTGCTGCACGTCTGCTGCTGGTGGTGACTTGGGTGATTGAGTTGTTGCTGTGATGTGAGGCTGTAGAATTGGGCATTTAGAGAGTTTAGATGCTGAAAGGGAGGACCTTGTTAGTAAGATAGAGAGGAGATAGAGATTATGTCTCTTAATTTTTTTTATTATAATACTAGAAAAAATCTGCTTTTTGGACTAGTGTGGATTTTTGTGTTTCGGAATCTTTTAAAATCCTCAATATTTCATTATCTTTGGAGTCTGGTTTAGGGTGCATTTCTGGAGTAATAAATTGTTAAAAGTGCAAAGAGCATTAAAGACCCCTGTGATAAAATAGTCTTTGACTCTTTCCAAAGACTTGGGTCACTTCCCTGGCTAGAAACAAAGGCAAATTGTGAACATCAGTGTAATAGTCACACGCTTAGATAAACAAGAACAGCTATTTGCTTTAGCTTAAAAATGTAATGAGGCTCATGACTTACTTCAGATACCTACTGAAATATCTCACATACCTGTAGCAAATGAGTCTTCAATCAGCAGTAATAAAGGAAATAAACTGGACATTTATCAATGGTAGGCTTCAGCATAAAGTTTTTCACAAATTCCCAGGGAAACATTGGGAAGTAGTTTGCTTGTGTCTGCTTCAGTTCTTTGGTTTTAAGACAGGGTTAAGTATTTCCCTGTCCGGTATGATTTGTCTATTTTTAATCTGCAAGTTCTTTCAGGCAGCGACTGTCTCTGGCTGTGCCTCAGTCTGCAGAAGACTGAATGGAAATCCAAAGTATAAGCCCTTCTGACAGCCTACCTCCAGCACAACTGGAGTGTTTCTAATGATAAAAGATAAATATTAGTGTCTCTTTGCAGGTTTCTTTTGCCCTGCTGGGTTTTTAGGGTCATTGAGGAGGAAATATGAGTTGGAATTTTTCTTCAGTGCTTTTAGAAAGAAATAAGGAAAGGGGTCTGGACTAGCTGAAAACAAGAAATGGATATATTTGTCCACCAAAACTGACCCTTGAAGAACATTTATCTGTTCATGGGGTCAGTATAGTTACAGTCAATAGTCACATGCCTGCATTCCTCTAAATAAATGAATTTAATTGTCATTCTGTGTGGATCTGTTTAATGTATATATATCCATACAGACTGATGCAGATGTGCATTTTATCCATTTTCTGAAGAGAATGAACTATGAGTCTCATGGGATAGTGAACCGAAGAGCCAGATAAATCCTCTCTCTTTGTTGTTACGTGCTGGAATTAGCACGCTAGAAAAGCCCTCTCGTTTTGCTGAACCTTGTATCTTGAGTGTTAACCTTTGTTTCACATCCACCCTTCCTTTGTCTTCCCATGTAATTAATGTTGTCCTCGAACAATAGATGTAACATACCTGGATTTGCTGGGGAGATGAGAAAAATGACTGATTTCTATGTGAAAAAAAAAAATAAATTGTGGTCTTATTTTAACTCTTTAAAACAGCTGAGCCCTGGGTTCCTCTATCTCACATAAAACATATAAAATAGAAATTGGTTTGTTGCTTGTATCAGGAGAACAGTGCATCTGGATGTCTTTATTAGCTTTCTGTATCCAAACGGAGTGTGTAAAGAGCTCCAGTAATTGGCCCCATTTCCAGGCTTGGAGAGGGAGCCAAGGACATATAAGCCGTCCTCAAGCAGGAAGCGGGAATTAACGTGGAGCCTTTCTCAACCCGCGGTTGAAAACTTGCTGTCGGGAAGCAAAAAAAAAAATTCTTTTTTTTTTAAAAAAAAACAAACCAATTTTTGCTGCCTTTGAGCAAATTAAAATGCAGGTTTTCCAATGTTGTGTTGGGGAAATGGTACTATCGATATTTCTAACACGCGTTTTTCCCCGTGCGCTGAGGATGGGTGGTTGGAAGCAGCTGAGAAGGCTGCCAGGAGTGTCAGTAGCTGCAGTTGTGGGGGTGTCTGGACTGGAATGAAATGACATCTGTACATTCTTAACAGTATTTTCCTCTCTTTGTAACGATTTGAAGCCTGGGTTGTGTGAAGCAGGGCACAGAATGAAGGCTTTAATGTTTTGTTGTAGAAACCCGACGTGCGACTCTCCAGAAGCAGCATCGACCGGGAGGATGGAGGTCTCCAGGGCCCAGTAAGTATGTGTGGGAGCTTTTCATCTCCCAGCTCTTTCTCCGGTTTCCTGGTAGAACATGTTGTACGCTGTCTTAATTATGTGAGATGATTTAAAGATTTTTGCTAAATGTTTCCATTATTATTACATGGTTCTACAATTTTTTTCCAAGAGGCTCAGCTTCTGTGGGAACAGCAGCCCTGGCAAACTGGTTCCTGCAGCAGTTTGGGGTTTGTTGGGTTTTATTTTTTTTTCCCCTTGAAGCTGCTGTTTTAACAAATACTAAAATGCTTCCACCAGTATGTTGCAATGATTTTTTTTTTTTAATGTTCATGTGCTGTATAATTGGGCCTTTTATTTAAAAATATGGATAGTTTTCTGAAAGTTCTGTCAACAGGAAGCAAGATTAAAATAACTTTTGCAGTTGTTTAAATATCTGAAATGTTTTCTTACAAGGAATGTAAATGTTACTGTTGTATTACCCAGAAATCTGTTTGGGGTAAATGATCCTCTATGAAACAAATGGAATAAACCCCGTGGCCATTCAGTTACTGCCAGACAACAGCTGCAGCTGTGATATTCTCTCTTACTGGCTTAACTCCTGTCTGGTTAACTAAAAATGTCTCTCCAATTATTTAATTGCCGTTGGAATCTCTGAATCATACTGATTGAAAGGAGGGGTTAGGCCACGGACTGGTCATGATAGAAACCTGATGCTTCATCTACTCTTTGTCCCCAGGGATCACCTTTAAAACAGTTAATGTTTTAAATTCACTTTCCAATTCACTTGAGATGTGATTGTAAAGTCCTAGTTTGGCTTCAGTATTTCTTCACAACTTAAGAATGCAGGGACTCTCCCTGTGTTTGCAGCCAAGGTACAATCCTGAATGAGTATATTAATGACACTCTGCAGCATGGACCCCAGAGACATTCAGGTCTGGATAAGATGCTAAGATAATTTCCATGGGATTGGAGAAGGCTGTTAGTTATTGTTAGGTCTTTGCTATTGTTGCACCTTTATATAAAAGCAAATAAAGCATCGCAGCATTTTGTGCTCCTCAGGAAGATGCTTTGAGATAACCTGCAAAAAGGTTTGGAAGTCCTGGCAGAGGTTTGATTGAGGTGGCTGTTGGTGGCAGTGGGTTTAAAGTACAGCTCCTTGCAGCCAGCTGTTTGTTGCTTCATTTCAGCGTGACTGCCTGGGGTTAGAATGACAAATACAACACCCAGATCCCAAACTGCTTGTAGGGGAAATCCTGTCTTCCCTGACGAGGTAGTGCAATTTCATACCCCATTGAAAAGAGTGTGAAGAAAACACTTAGTGATCGTTGACAAAATGAGTTTTAAAAGAGACTCTAATTCATGATAACTACATTTCTAGTTGCAGAATTTTGTTTTGCATTTTTATAGTTTTTCATACAGTCCAACTTACTTGATTTGCAGTGGGAAATGTCTAATCCTTCTGTGAGTCAATCTCAGTTTCTCACCGAGAGGATGAGAAATAGGCAGTAGTCATTTCTAGGAGAGCTACGGTTAAATAATTGTCCGGTGTAACACAGAGATTTCTGTGACAGAGGTTGGAATCCAGCTCACTGAGGTGTCATTTGTGTTTTCCCCACAAAGTGACTTTATTTGAGCAGTTGTCGTGGTAGTTGGAACAGGAGCAGAAAACACAGCAGCTCTGACTCCTGCTCAGAGCAGCCACATCTGCACAGTTCAGGGACACTTGGATGTGGTCATACAAATTAAAAGTTATCACACACATTTTAGTAGTTTCTAATCGATGACCATGTGGCTGTGTAACTTTGTGCACATTCTTTTGACATACACTTCTCATACGCAATTTTCTGGAAGTAAAAAGGCAAGAATTGTTTTAGTGGAATTTTACTCTCCTCCCTCTCTTCCCCCCTTTCTTTTCCCCTGGGTTATCAGATTTGAAATATTTAAGTTAACAACACAAATCAAAGTTAATGACGTGACTGACGGTGCTGGCAGAAAGCAGCTGTTTGTTCTAACCATAGAGGGTGGCTGTATGAAAGTCTGAGAGATGATCAGCCAGTGGGTTTCCGAGGTTTGTGGTGGTAGCAGAAGAGTTTCAGTGATTTGGATCTTCAATTTCTACTCCTGGTTCCTGAAAGTTAAATTTGATTTTATTTTCAAGTCTGTACTTACAGACTTAGAGTAGGCAGGGGAAATAGGCTCCTTTATTTCAAGCCATCACATTTCTGCTCTAAAGTATTAAATTGATAGAATATAATCTATGAAACTTGGAAGAACTTCAGATTTCTCCCTATGCAATACATTTTTATGCAACCTTACTTTCTGGAAGTTGTGCTTCTTGACACAGTTTTCTGTAGCAAACTGATAGAAACGAGCTTGAAGTAAAGATAGTTTGGGAATTTTCATTTCATTCAGTTAAAATATGAAGAATTTTTGAGCAGCTGAAAGCAGGCCTCATGAACTGCAAGGCAGCCTGAACCACAGGAGCTGCTCTCAGATCTGCCTGTCATTTAAAAACCGTAACATGAATTTCTAAAAGTGCCAGGGTGAAGCTCTGAATAAATCAGGCATTGGAAGGGGTTGCCCAGGGCAGTGGTGGAGTCCCCATCCCTGGAGGGATTGAAGAGTCGTGTAGACACAGTGCTGAGGGACATGGGTTAGTCGGGGACTTGTCCGTGTTGGGTTAATGATTGGACTGGATGAGCTTAAAGGTCTTTTCCAGTCGAGGTGATTCTGTGATTCTGTAAATGCTGAGCTACAATTGTGAATATCCTTCGAGTTCTTTAATGAGTCAGTTGCAAGGCATGAGCTTCTTGGTTCACTTTGAAGGATCTCCTGTAGACTTTCTGTGTGCTGTTGGGCAAGCTGCTTGGTATCCTCACAGTCATCTAGCACTGAAATGAGGTGGCAGTGCAGTTAGAAGCTAAGGAATAGCAAGTGTCCTGCTCTTGTCTCTGTTACCTGGGTGTGTTTCTGAAAAAAGAGAACGTGAGATGTTCAAAAATAGTTGCTTAAAGGGTCAGAAAATCAAGTTAATGATTTAACATTCTTAGATGGTGATTTACGATAGTGTTGTCCAGAGCTGAAGTGAATTGAAGCAAACACTGTGCTTTTGTACCACTAAAAGTGAATCCAAAGCAGCCTGAATGTCATCTTTCAAAGTGTTGGAAAAGCAGCTTCCATTGGCTTCCTGGCTTCCCTTGGTCAACCAGATGGGTGACCTTGTCGTAAGAGGAAATTAGGGTGGTTAAGCAGGAGTTTCCCCTCATGAACCCATGCTGCATGACCAATGACTGCGTTATCTCAAGTGTTTTTCAGTAACTCCCAGAATAACCTTCTCCGTATTTTTACCAGGCACTGAAGTGGGACTGACAGGCCTGTAATTACCAGGGTCCTTCCTTCTTGCCCTTCTTGAAAATAGTGACATTTGCCAGCTTCCAGTCAACTGGGATCTCTCCAGACTCCCAAGACCCTTGAAAAATAATGGCGAGAGGTCGCACAATAACATCAGCAGCTCTTTCAGTTCCCTGGGATGAATCCCATCAGACCCCATAGACTTATGTTCATCCAGCTGGAGCAGCAAGTCTCAAACTTGTTCAGAGCTGACTGGGAGTTTATCATCCCCTCAGTCTTCCAACGCAGAGCTCCAGCAGTCCCACAGCCCATCATTGGTGTGGATGACAGAATTGAAGAAGGCATTAAATGTCTCTGCTTTGTCTGTGTTCCTGTTTGTGAGGTAACCAAACCTCATCAAGCAACGGAGCAGTGTTATCTCTGAGCCTCCTTTTGCTGTTAGATATTTAAAAATGTTGTTGTCCTTCACAGGGCTGGCCAACTTGAACTCTAGTCGAGCTTTGGCCACATGAATTTTCTCCCTACGGTAGTGAAAAGCATCTTTGTAGTCTTCTCATGTCTCCTGTCTTTGCTTCCAGCGTCCATACACTTTCCTTTTGTCGTCCTTCGCAGTGCTGTCCAGCTTCAACTCTAATCAAACTTTGGCTGCATGAATTTTCTCCCTATAGTGGTGAACAGCATCTCTGTAGTCCACTCGTGTCACCTGTCCTTGCTTACAGTGTCCATACACTTTCCTTTTCTGCCTGAGTTCTAGAAGAAGATCCCTGCTTAGCCAAGCGGGCCCTCTGCCCCGCTTGCTTGACTTCCAACACTTTGGAATTACCTGCTCTTGTGCTCTTAAGAGATAGCTCTTAAAAAGTGACCAGTGTTCATGGACCCCAGTACCTTCAAAGCAGATTCCCAGGAGCCCTTGCTCCTTCAGCAGCCTCAAGGCTGCTCTCCCCATACCCAGGGTTGGAGTTTCACTGGCAGTTTTTCTCCTATCGCCAACAATATGAATCTCAACTACTTCATGGTCACTGTGACCGAGACAGCCACCGATCACCACTTCACCCACGAGTCCCTCTCTGTTTACAAATGACAGATCTAGGGGGACACTTTTCCTAGTCAGTCCCTTAGTGCCTGCACCAAGAAGTTACCTTGAACGTGCTTCAGAAATTTCCTGGACCTGCTTCTGTCTGCTGTATGATATTCCCAGCTGACATCTGGGAAGTTCAAATCACCCGTAAGGACAGTGTTTTCTCATTACATCTTTAACCCAGGTCCCAGGGAGGCAGCGGCCTTCCCTAAGAAATGGGTCTGGTCGGCATGTTGGGACTTCTGCTCCCCTCAGGAGAGGGTCAGCCTTGGTGACACCTCCAACCTGGATAAACCACCATCCTCGTCATTGTTTGGTTCCACTTGCAGAGCCTCGTACCTATTATAGCTAGATGAACCATTGTCCTCATCTTTGTTCAGTTCCACTTGCGGAGCCTCATACCTAGTACGTGAGGGGACCTGGGAAGGTGGATGAGTTATGGAGAAGAAGTGCCTGCTGCACTGGGCAGGAACTTGTCACCATTGCCCTCTATCTGTTAAGTCACCATGTTCTGCTGGGTGGAGAGAGGTCAGGGACTCCTCCATGCCATGTGTCCTGTCTGCCTGACAGGCCTGTCCCAGGGATGGTG